CGCCCTCCCCACCTTCCCACCCTTCACCCCGGCTCGGCGCCGTTTTTACCTCACTCGTGAGGGGCACTGCGGCGTCTTCCTCGCGTGGCAGCGCCAAGGGGCGCCAGGGCAGCCGCCCTCGGCCGAAGGGCAGCGCGGTCTGCGCGTGTTCGGGAATTGCTGCTCCGCGCTGGGCTTAAGGGATAGTTGCGACGTTTAGCAAGTGTCCACCCGTGAGCTTGATCTCTTCCTTACTGACCCCTGCGTAGACACCCGAGTCCTGTAGTCGTAATACGCGTGCAGTCCTTTCAGCTTCTCTGAGATCAGAGTTCTCTGGTGGCATCCAGAAAAGGCTTTTAGGACTATCACTAATGTAATGGAAAATGATTCATCTGTAGTGTCTGTTTAGTGCCTTCGCTTATTTCCTGTCTGCACACAGCTCTGTAGACATCTCCTCTGACTGCTAATCCATTGCTACTTTTTTACATTGCAGGTGCTCTGCCGGTACCAGCACATCTGGAATATCAATCTGCGCTTTCGTCCAGCTTTCCTTGGTGGCATAATGCAAGCAACTGGTAGGCAGTGTGGGGAGGTCAGCTCTGCAGGGAAATACCTTCTTCACTAGTAGGACACTAGTGCGCCAGGTCTTAGTGAGCGCAGAGCCCACAGAGCCAGCTTTAAACTAAGTTTTGGCACCAGTAACAAACGAACTAGAAGATTGTGGAGCTCAGTAGTGGCTGAGAGACCAGCCACAAGGAATTTCATTCTGTGTAACTACATAGCCACTCTTTGTGGCATACAGTCTATGCCAAAGTTCATCAGTTCTAAAATGTGATAATAATAATTTGATATGGAATGTTTTCCTAAAAGTTTTCTGTTGACTTCAAACCAGAATTAACTTCTGGAACACCTGCAGTTTGCAATATGCATGAAGGATCCAAATACACCATAAAATAGTACTTGTGGCCTTACTAGAACAAGTTAATCACTGAGAGTTATAACTCATAAATCATGAAATTAACAAGTCTCTGTATTTGTTTACTCATGCATTAGTAGTTGTTTAGCTTGAAAGTCATCTGCCTGAATCCATATAAATCCCTGCTAGGACATCTGTACCTTGGTTTAAAGCTGATCCTGCTAACTTAAAGGGTTGATTGGTGCAAAACCAAAATAAATAATGTTTAAATCCTAGCATTATCTTTGGAAAAACTGTGTGTGTTCCAGCAAGCCAATATGAAATTATACTTTCCGTAGGCACATGTATGGATGAGGTCTAGTTTGTCCAGTTTTGTTTTGTCCAGTGTTGTTATAATACAGTTGAAAAATCTCAACAGAACTTTTTCTGAAAGGTAACAAGCCCCCAGCAATGTTGCCAAAGCGTGCAGAATACTTGCTGAAGGATATAAAAAGGATGGCAAAATACTACCAAGTGCCTGTACAGATTTCAGAAGGTGGCTTCCAACATATCCTTGGTACAAGTAAGTGACAGACTTAGCTTAACTGGTATCTTTCAACTCTAGCACTTCTGGTTCAAGTTCTCCATTAACACCAAAGGTGAAGATGTATTCCATGTCCACAGCCTCTTCCTGTATCTGTGAGCAATACAAAGTATGTGCATTTTAACCATAAACTTCTGGAGAAATATGCTTCTGAATGATACTAGCATGGAAGATGCTGTGAATCAACATAAGCTTTACTATTTGGGGACTGTTACAGAGAGGATCATACTGTTCTTGGGTAGCACTTGTGCAGACCGTATCTGTTCCTGATCCTGTGTCTTGTTTCAGTGTGTTTCTCTGTCTCCCTACTAATCCCAGGCAGTCTTGGGGCCATGCGCTTTATCACAGCCATTGATATGACAGAGCCACGATACTTGGAACCCTTATCTAGGGAGTTCTGGTTACGTTTTTGGTCACAGGTCAGTATTTATGAAGCCAACTTCTTGATCCTTTCTCTGTCACCCTTCCTGTCCTGTGTCAGATTCAAACAAGAGAAAGGAAATGTCTTTTAATGAAAAGTCATGTCAGGAAGCCTAAGGTCATAGTAGTTCAGGAGCCATTATAAGAAAAGAACTAGCTTATAGTCAGCTTAATTTGCCACCTTTTAGGTATGTGTGGTGCGTCCTATGGGCTGAGTGGATCAGTAGTTTGTATCAGAAAGTACGTAATACATTCCTAGATAAGGTGACTTACAACTTTTTCTGAGGAAATTTCTCCAGCAAGTAGTATTGTTTTTCTTTCTATTTTGTTAGAAAACTTGGTTTCAAGTCCAGAGCTGAGCTTTTGTTCTTAAGTACTGAATTACTTATCTTGTTCTTTTACCAGCATGAAGATATCAGTCAGCCGGAGAATATATTGGCAGTAAGTGTCTCCTTTTTGTTGGTGCTTCTGCATTTCTGATACAGATTCTTATTGATGGCTTGGACCAGTAATAGACATGAAGACAGCTTAGTCAAATGATCACTTGGAGTTCTGAAAAATTTCAGCTAGAAAAAAATGGATTTAATTTCCCTAGCAGCTCTGTTTGGAATGACTTTTTTTTTTTTTTTTTGGTCTGTGCTTTGGATGACATTCAGAACCAGAATCTCCTTTCTGGTTAATTCCTGTGGCAAGATACCCAGGATGGACAATGAATTATCTGTTAATACTGTTTTATTAACAGTAGTGAAAGCATGAACTGTGTCTCCAGAATGCAATAAGGTTTTGCTGCTATATGAAATCTTCAGGTGAAGTGCAACACTTTGGGGAAATTGACTTTTCTGGGAGTGGTGGAGCCAGGCTTTACTGTGAAGTTCAGTGCTGTATTGCCCTTTTACATGCTTAGAAATAATACTCTTCTGATGTATTTTCTTTTGTTGTTTAGATTTTGTTTATTACAGTAAAAACTGTAATGGCATGTAAGTTAGTATACCATGAGATCCTCTTTAAGGGCTCTCATTTCTACTTTATTTTAAGTTCTTGGAATACGAAGAGAGGAATTGTTCATGACTAGTCTCTCCTATCCAGCATCCCTATTTGAAACCTGAAACTTGCAATCTTGCTGTTTCTCCGGAGTCTAGTCCTTGCACTTCAGCTTCATCTTAGTGTACCTTTTTTACCAGAATTTCAGCAAAGGTTTGCATTTGCCTTTTGAAGAGGCAAGATTTGAAGAATATAATTAAACTGTGGTGTGTTAACTCTGGTAGGCAGCTAAGCACCACACAGGCACTTGCTCACTTCCCCGCAGTGGGACAGGAAAAGAGGAAAAGAAGAATAAAAGCAAGAAAACTTGTGGGTCATGATAAAATTGCTTAATAAGCAAAGGAGAAGTGGAAGAAGAGAGAAAGAAAACAAAAAAACAAGTGATACAAAGGCAATCACTCACCGCCTCCCTTGGGTACGCTGCTGCCCAGCCAGTTCCCAAGCAAAAGGTGGCTAACCTCCCCTAAACCCCCTCCTCACTTCTTACTGCTGAGCATGATGTGGTATGGCATGGAATATCTCCTTGGTTAGCTCGGGTCATCTGCCTTGACGTGTCCTCTCCCAGCCTCTGCGCACCCCCAGTCTATTCACATGGGAAGGGGGAGAGTGAGAAACAGCAAAGGCCTTAGCACTGTGCAAACACGATTCAACGACAGCTAAAACATCAGTGTGTTATCAGCATTGTTTTGGTCACAGATCCAAAACGCAGAAGTATGGGAGTTGCTGTGAAGAAAATAATTAACTCCATCCCAGCCAGACCCAGTACATAAATATATACATTAAGTCCTCACATAGTCTCTGAATCCATCATTATTTAAATAAAGCAAGAACATGCAGAACTTTAGAGAAACAAACTTGACACTCAGAAAAGATCTGTATGTAATTTAGTCACTGGTGGTCTGTGAGTATCCCCCTGTGTTCAGCAAGGCAGAGGGGAAGGCATCTCCTTGTTGGCTAATGTCCGTCTTCATTCACCCCTGCAGCAACTACTAGACTTCTCTCTCCTCCGGAAATATGCCATCCAAATGTGGGTGAGGGGTCCCAGCCCTTTCATCTGAGTCTTTATAGGTGAATTTATTTTACACATCAATGAGAAAAATGGAATGTTGTTTACTTGAAACGGTTCCTTTACTATTTTTTACTTCTTTTTTCTTAGTCAGGAGTGATTTTACATAAATTACTACAGAAGCAATATATAGTCTTTGAATCCTGCCCCAGTACACTTAAATACCCCTTCTGCCCTAACATGCTGAGGACCAGATACTACGTCTCTATGTAAATATTACAGTCTAAACACTGTGGCTACCAAGCATACATAGCATTTTCTTCTACTCCGGTGCTACATTTAATCTCGTGCTTAAGCGGAGTGAAACAGCTCCTAATCTCCCTGATGTGGAAATAGAAGAAGGTACAAGAAAATGTGGATACTAAATGAAAAAGTGATTGAGAGAAAGAAAGAAAAAAATCATTAAGACCTGCATGTGAGGATTACTGGTCTGTATGCAATACTGTAAGCAGTTTAAAATTTTTTTTTAAAAGGAAAAAAGAAAAAGCATGTCATTCAGGTAGATGGCATGGTAGGTAACATTTTTTGCGAAATACTTTATTAAAATAGGTACTTGTAACTTCAGTGTTACCTGGTAAACATTGGACTTTTACCTTTGGCCACTTTATCTCATTCCTGCGTGGCAGAGACAACAAGGAGGCTAAAAAGATACAGCAATAACACTAACAACTACTTAACCTGTGTGTTACAGTCTCTTTCATGCCATATCCCTTATAGATCCTGTGTAGCCACATTTGTCATACAAACTGTTTTTGTCTTGGCAGGCTTGTACAGTAAGATTTTCTTTTTCAGAATATTTTTTTGTTATGTAAGTTCTCTGATAAGTCATTGGATCAGAGGCTAAACTTAGTAATTTTTTTGTTTTGTTTTGTTTAGGAGCTGGAATCAAGTGCATATTTGGGGCTTGGGAGTTTAAAATATCCCTTCTACTTTGTATCTGAGAGTTGATAAATGATGAACGGGTTGGGGATACAGCAAGGCAGTTGTGCAAAAAGCACTTCAAGTGTATTTTGTAGTTTTTTTGGTAATAGATCTTGGGCTGTAATACTGAAGATTAAATTAATTACACCATGGTAGGAATTAGAATATTTAGTATTAGAGTACTCTTAATTATATCATCTTTTCTCAGGTTGCCAGACAGGCTGGGCTATCATCAGAGCTTGCCCAGAATCTACTTGAAATGATTTCATCCCCTGCAGTGAAGAACCGACTGAAAGAGACAACAGAGGAAGCAATAAAATATGGGGTGAGATGCTTCCAATGCCATTTGGCATCACTGCTATGCATTCCTTCCCTATTAAGAATACTGGGAAGCAAGAAACAATGAAGGTGATGATAAGAAAGCACTATGTAGACCATCTCTCTTAGGTGGTCTTTGCTTTTTGAACATCTGAAAGCTAACTCGCTGTTGCTGGTAGTTTATCTCGTTGTCATCTGGGAAACTAAGGTTGATGAATTCAGCTCATTTCAGCTGGACAGCAAGGATGGGAAGCTACAGGACCAGTACTAAGAGATACCGTTTATCACTACTTGATATAAAAGCGTGGATTTATCAGGTTGCTTTTCTTGCTTCAAAAGGGTCACACAGGCTCTGGAGAGTCCTCTGCTTTCTGATGGCTCCATTAGACTCATCTTTAGGAATGAAGAAGGTGAAAAGAAGGGGAGGAAAAAAAGTCATTTTGCTTTTTGTTCCTGAAGATTTATCATGTGTCTGCAAAAATTTCTCTCCTTGTAACATTCTCTGTTTCAACTCCGTGGTGTCAATAGGCATTTGGGATGCCTGCTGTTGTGGCACATTTTAATGGGGAACCGCATCTCTTCTTTGGCTCTGATCGTTTAGAGCTGCTAGGCAGCGTTATTGGTGAGTGTACCTAATAACATCACTTCTGGTTTCATGTTTTCACCGTCTTTTAATGAAATATGTAATACAGCTAAATAAAACACTTAAGGTCTTTCAAATATTAAATAATGTCTGGTATCCTTCTCTTGGGATGGAACTGCTGATGGAATGTATCTTAGTACCATTACAGTGACCAAAGAGATAGTCATTTTTCAAGCAAAAAGTAATTTGAGTTCTCCATCCTCTCTTGGTATGTTTCAAGGCTTTGCGCTTCGCATATCATTCTCAAATTACTATTGAAACTCCTTAGTTGTCAAAATATTCATATTTAACCTTTTGGTACTGGGTACTAGGTCTTGGCTAAGATCAAGACCATGGCTGATACTGCTCTTTTATTTTTTTTGTAGTTTTAACATTTTCATTTTATATAATTTTATTCTTAATAAAAAGCACATTATCACAGCTTCCCAATTCATAACTTGTAATTACATAACTACACAACTTTTTAACAGAATCATAGAATGGTTTGGGTTGGAAGGGACCTTAAAGATCATCTGGTTCCAACCCCCTGCCATGAGCAGGGACATCTTCCACTAGACCAGGTTGCTCAGAGCTCCAACCTGGCCTTGAAATTCATATATTGACTATCCTTTCTCTTCATTTTTCTACTAATAGAATACAAACCTTGAATTTTTAAGGAGAATTGGACTAGGCTGTCATAACTAATAAAACTCAGTCACCTGCTTTTACATGAGTTAGAAGGCATATGACTGTTGATATCAAGATTTGGCATTTGAGAGAGTCTGGACATAATTAGCTCTGGTGCATTTGTTGAAAAATTTCAGCAGAAAATCTTAATGTAAATTAAAATTAGTCATAAGCTTAAACAGAGGGGATTTTTTTTTTGAGGTTATTTTCTTTTCTGGATGGGTTTCTGATTCTATAAAAATATTCTTGAAGAAAATGAGAGTGAGGAAGATGAATACCCAACACCCACTGCAATAATCTCGAATCCTAATTGGAATGTTATGGCCTGGTTTCTAGTCTCAACTCCTAAGGACTCGACAGATTTTCTTTTTGTTTCTCTGACTCCCCAGCCTTCCACCCTTTTTCGCTTTCTTACCTCCAGCCCCTCAAAAAAGGAGTCCTAAAAAGAACTGGCTTCACCCTCATGGGGAGTGCCACAGACCTGCAGAATCTCTCATCTGTGACAGAGAAAAATAATTGTTCTGTACAGCTTCAGTTGTGACTAGACAGTGAAGGATTTAGGGAGCTGACAGAAGCATGCCAAACAAGATACAAATCAGTACTCCATCATCAGTAGTTACCCTTCAAAAGAAGAGTAGGAACAGTCCTCCTATTGCAGAAATGTGACTGGCCAATCACTTCTGTGTATGAAATTTTAACTTTCTCTTTTGTGCTGGTTTGTCTTACAGGTGAAAAATGGCTGGGACCAGTTCCATCAGTTCCAGGCCCCAAGATGTGAAAAGTCCTAGGGAAATATATGAGTGAAAAATATATATGTACATGGTCAATCTTCAGTGATTATCTGAATGTATCCAATTTTACAAAGAGATGGCTTTCTCATCCTTAACAGCTAACTTTAGAGCTTGGTCTCATCTCTAATTACGAAGAAGTTCAAGGTTTGCTTAGCAGTCTGGTAAAGTCTTTACCAATACAAATGTGCTTCTTTTCCTTCAAAAGATTAATGATTAACATTAAAGATTAAACATTGAATATTTAACTTCTTGCAGATTAAACATTGTTCTTTCCTGATTAGTTCTCTTATCCTACAATTATGAGGATTAAATTGTTGTTACGGGACTGAGATCTCTGGATTTCTCCCTAAAAGCATAAGGATTACATTGTTGTTATGGGACTGCAGTCTCTGGATTTCTCGTATCTCCCTGCTTGTCCTTCAGAAACACACATACAGCCTAAGAGAAGCTGGACACATTCTCCTTTTATTTTAAGTCCAAGATACTGCACAGACACTAGAAGCACAGGACAAGGTATGCACGCTTCCTTTTACTCTGCAGCATGGCAACTGGAGGGGACATGAGAGGGACAATTCAAAAGGCAACTGTCCCCCTCCCGGACAGTATTTTGTATACCTTTCTCTGCAGTGACCACCTCCTCCATACGAGGAGACCACCACACACATGCATTCTCAGGCACCAACCCCGGACCTTGCAGGGGGTTTTAATTAATGCCAGTTTTACAGTAATGTCTTTGGAGGACAATGGTGAATACCACGGAAGTTCAGTTGGTAACTGAAACAGACCATGTTTTGCTTCCTCAAGGATGGCCTAATTCCTGGCTATACAAATGTGATTTGGATATGACTATGAAGGACTTCCCATCATATAGTCTGCAGAGGGAAGGATACGCAAACAGTAAAATTAAAACACTTTGTTTTTCACTCTCATGTCCAATTACAGTAGTTAGAAATTTCATACTGAAATAGTTTGAACCTGGCCCTGTATTGGCTGAACTGGAATAACACACAATTTGATTTGTACAAGGCTTGATTTTTCAGTGATTCCTGGCTGTCTCTGATGCATCACTGACAGAAGCAGAAGAACTAGCAGCAGCTGGAATTCTGTTTTTTGTCTCTTTCTGAATTTTAAGGTAAAGCATATTTGTGCTTGTTCACTTGAACAGCAAATCCTGGAACAAAGCATCAGAAAAAAAATCTGTATCCTTCATGTTCTTACAGCTGTAAGTGTTGTGGGAGTAGCATTTGTTCCCCCATCCACAATTTCTCCTTCTTACACCTCCTCCAGCTCTTCAGGAAATATTCTAAAATTTGAGAACTCTTTCGTCCTTTCCACCAGTGCACCCATTAGTCTTTGGGCAAATCCAGCCTGGAATTAAGGAAATCTTTGTGAGATATAAGAGGCTACGTTCATTTAGGAGTTAGAATGACAGGGAAATTACCATGTATGTGAATGCCATAGGTTTCTTTGAGTCCCTTGACTCATGTCATGTTAAAGAAACTTTTTACCATATCCCCCCTGAAATTTACTAGTCTCCAGTTTGTGCTATCAAAGCAATTCTAAGATTGTGATAAACATGGAATGACTGAAACATCACTTTAAGCCAGATCACCCCAGTGAGCTGGGGCCACTGCCATAGGCAATGCTGTCTCAGAAATGAGCAAAATGGGAGGTAATGAACTCTGGTGGGAAGGTGGGGAGAATGCCGGGAGCATGTTGAAATAATCTCACGGTGAAGGCCAGGGTCTCATGAAACTTTGTCCTTTGAACCAGCTTGACGAATAAAATGGCCTTTGTGACAATGTTGTTGATGTGACAGATGGACCAAATGAGATGGATCTTACAGACTGCTGTGTATTTCCCAAAATTATCGTAAAGGTCCTTAAACCCACTTGAACTCAGTGGAAATGAAATGCTCAAAGCCTTAGGTACTAAAATAGTACTTAAACACTGCTGAGATAAGGAAAATCCAAACTCTGGATTTTCCTTACATCGTTTATTGCCTGTGATGACCACTAGTAAGTGGTTACAGCCTTTGCATTTGTGTCAGTGAGTATGGATGTTCTTGCAATTCTGACTGTATAGCTACTTTGAGCAGAGTTGCCTGTTCTGGAGCAGACCTTTGAGGAAGTTCTATGTCTTGTTTAGACAACCTTACTCCTGCTTTATGGAGGCCTTATTGTAAGCACAATCTCTTGGCAGACACTCTGGTGATCAACCTAGAAAACAGTGGCTGGCAGCTATACTGTCATTCTCAGGACTTATCTTGGGCTTAGCGTGCACTGAAGTAGACTGCGCTGAGTAACAGCTTCGTTACCTGGCTTCGCTTTCTGATCTGTCTGTAAATGTCAGTCTGCTGCGACACCACTGGCCACCACTACATGGACTTGAACTGTGTGACTGCTCCGACTGCCACCAGGTGGCAAGGCAGCTAAAAGTGGAGCATTACTTGAAAAAACACTGAGGATCTAAACTGCTGTGGCTTTTTACCAGGCACAAGGGTAGATGCTAAGCAGCAATAAGAACTGTCAGCTATTTAGGAATAGCTAGAATAATTTTCTTCCATAAAGATGATACCTCTTTTGCTTAGTTATATACCAAACTAGTTCCTGAGAGCCTCACATCACTTCCAAGGCAGCATGCTCTTTAGCTGTCAAGCCTGAGAAGATACTGGGCTAGGAGAGGGACTTTGAGCCAAAAGAGAGGCTCTCAGCGACACAGGAAAAACTGGACTCTGAACTCCAGGTAACAAACGTGGAGTTGTGTTCCCCTTTGCTCTATTACAGACCTCACCAGGAGATCCAGCCCCACTTGCCATGTCTGGAAAAGCTGTGAAACTGGCATGGGGAAGTAGGTCCCACCAATGCTAGGCTGAAAGCAAACAAGCAAGTGTAGAGACAGGCACAAAGTCACAAAATCAGCAAAAGAAAGTGGTTCAGTAAAATAATGAAACCATAGGATGGAGAGGATAGGTGCAGAGAAAGCTATATGGCATCTGAGCAAAGGAAACCGAACAACAAAAGAAAAAGAGAATAAAACTGAGCATGAATTAGGGCACAGAGAGGGGTCTCAGTAGGAAATGCTGTTCACTGAGAGGGAGTAGGCAACCAAGAAAAGCAGATCATAGGTAGGTTAAACAGGACCGTCAGCTGGCCATGGCAGATCATTTGGGGAAGAAGGCACAAGATTAACTCTGTTTACTGTGAAGCCATACAATACTTGCTGCGCTCTTTCAGTGGGGCCAAGGATGGCCCAAGGGCCTGCCTCCACCCTGATGCACCTATGGTGTCCATTACCTGTGCTCCTCAGCCAGTGCGCACCAACAGTCCTGCAGTGGCAACCTCACACGCAGCACAAAATGGAGGCCTGCAGAACAAGGCAGTTCTTTAACGTTTCCCTGCAAGCACCTTCTTACTGTCCTTTCAACCCTCAGCAAGCAAAGCCTCCTCAATTAAGTCTCTCTTTTCTCCCATCCTTATCTGTGCAAGTGAGAAGGGAACATTTTATTAAAGCACTTACTGGATTATGGTGCTGAGCATCTGCTTTGCTGCCTTTTCCTTTTCCAGTGGAGCCAGCAACACTGCTGGAAGGAAGCAACCTGCTTCCTAGAAGGGAACCAAGCACAGAACAATAAAGAAATAATCAAGAGGGTATCCCAGGAGCTGCACACGTAGCTAGTTTTAACCCAAACTTTTCACACATCTGTGGCTCATCCACAGGTAAAAGCAAAAAGAATGTATCTACACCCAACTTGACCAATGTTACCATGACCTACTTCTCATTCCAGCTTGAAACATGAGGAAAGTGACTACCTGGCTTTCCCTTCATTCAAAAAAATCATTGGCCACTAATTCCAGACTGTGTTTCAATGCCACTGCTGTTCTGGCTATAGCGTCTTGCCTAAAGAAGCTATGTCTATAGCTATCCAATGAGTAATAAAGGCATTCTCCAATCTTCCCAACTGTTTCAATCAGTCCCGTTTTCAATTTACAAAAAATAGTTTAAAATAATACAGCAGGTTCCAATAGGTGACAGCATCACACAGCCAAGCTAAGAAATGCCATTACTGAATACATCTGTGCAACCCGAATGCCTTATCCTTAAGAATACACTTTGTGAAGCAGAGTCTACTCTTACACTCTCACCGCGTTTCTCTCCCTTCTTCTCCCTCTGCCCCCTCACTTGCGATTCCCACATCTGACCTCAGGGTTTAAGGAATTTATCTATTGTCTCGTATCAATACCATGGCAAAAACAGGGATGAAATATTTTGCAAAATTCACAAACTTAAAATATTCTTTTGCTTTCTTTACTGATCTTATATTCACCATACATATTTAACAAGAAATGAGTATGATGTCTTTAACATAACAGCCCTCTTTCTTATACCATTCTAATTCATCCTTAGGTGACCCTCCATCCTATGTACTAAGGATGGTTTAAAATTATTAAATGTCATTTCATAAATAGTGTAGTTTCTGGGAGTTTATGCATAACTGTATTGCAACAGTAAATCTGTACTACAACTCTTTTCTTTGAATCTGAGGAAAATGGAAGGAGTTTGAATTAAAGAGTTGGTGTCAGTGTGGAATGTGCTAAGAGCGGAGAAGGAACATATGAATTACTTTGATGGCATACATCATTCAATTAGGAGAGTTAAGAAGGCCTTAAATTCAGCTAATGAGGGATTCCTGCAGTAAGATGGTAAGCCAAGATGCTTTCCACAGGAGCATATTTTTCTATTTGAACTATATGTGATCATACCAATACCTTCTAGGGAACAGATGAGATGTAACTGTGTTTCAGCAGTTTTTCAAAGGTAGACTATCCCCTTTCCAAGTTTCATGATGTAATTTAAAACTCTTGAGGTTTAAAAACAAAACTGGTAAATCACTGCTATTTGTCGCTAAACTGTGGCTTTAAACGACAGGAATTTGCAGTACCAGGGTTCTTATCCATTTTGTACATCCTAGCTCTGGTACTTTGAA